AGAGGCAGGTCAGAATAAAAAATACCGCAAGTTAGGTGAGAAAAAGTGGAAAGGATTGCTTTCTCTCCGCCTCCCCCCCTCCATTTTCTGCCATCTCTCCCTTTTTTCCCTTCTCTTTCCTCCTTTTATCTCTATAGCTAGGCACTCTGCACAAGGTAGCCACTCCGCAAGTGTGCAAAAATAAAGGGAGATGACATCAACAATTGCAGACTGAATGCTTAGGTTTCTGTCCTGTTTTTGCGTGAAAGCAAGCATGGGAGCCGTGGTAACTGCAGAGGTTGATGACATTTAATTCTAGCAGTACCGGTGGGCTTCGATTGCTGTGCTCTGACAGGGGTGTGCTGAGGGTGACTGCTTTGCTTGTACTTTAATGCTTGTCCTGATGAAAAGCCAGGCTTTCTCTGAGAAGTGAGATGGATTCACTACTAATTTTGTAACTTTTGCATCATACTCTAATGACTACAAGTGGATTTCTTAACATTGTCCTGCTCTTCTGCCTTCCATATTATGCTCAGGAAACTTTTTTGAGCTACCAGGACTTTCAGAGTCCAATAGTGCACAGGATATTAGATGTTTATTTTCATTTACTTTCATTTTACTACCAGTTTTCCTCTTGAAGTGATGTCAAATTTTATTTCAAAATTAAAAGGCTACACAGATAAATCTTACTAGGAACCCAAGAAATTTAGCAAATGCAACCTACGACTTTGTATTTTGAATTGGTAACTCTGGGCTGGCAGAATTACAGTGACTGTAAAAATGTTTATCAGTGTAGACTATTAACACCACAGATTAACAGCAGAGAAAGAGTTGTGGGAGTAGTTCCGTTCAGTTTTGACTGCTGTCTTTTTAAAATCCATTCTCTTTATCTGAACAAAGGTGTTGTCATGACTTGATTTCTAAAGCCAGCTGATGAGATTTTATCTGCTATCTCATTAGAAAAGAGAATGGCTAAGTGGATGTCCCAATAAGTCTATTTCCAGTGTGTGAACTTCTTAATCTTTCAGTGTCATTTAGAACAGTGCTACCTCAGCTTAACAGGACAGTAAATGTCATTCGAATTTATAGAAGCACAAGTGCGCAGTCTTTGCGGTGAAGTTCCCTGGCTGATACGGTATATGGTGGCCTGTGCGAATACACAGCATTCATGAGCTAAATATTTTCCTTTCTGTGCTTACCACAGCGGCTAAGACACCTTCTCTGAAGCCCTCCTCCAACAAAGTGCCGAGCTTGTGCTTAAGTAAAAATAGCTATTTTGGTACTTGGATGTGTGGGATGCGTTCAGGCATGTGCTAAACATGCGCTGCTCTGATCTTCTGCTCAATAATACAGCGAAAGAAAAAAGGACCTGCCTGGGCACTTTCCCAGGGAATGTGGTTGTGGGTGCACTCTCTTTTACCATTGTGGATGCTTCAAGGTGCAGCTTAGCCTTGCTACTTAAAACAGGCACTTGACCGTCATGAGTTGTGTTAACTACTGAAGCGTAGTAGTTGATATTTTTGCAGTTTACTTGTATTCCTTTTTTTCTAGCCTTCAGAACAAGGACAGTCCCATGCTGTGTATTTGTGCACCACCTTGCTCAGCTGGGATTATCAGTTAGGGCACCTACATACTACTGTGCTTTAGGTAGTGTGTGTGCACTGCAATTTAAAATTCCTAGTCATCTCCTTGAAGCAGAGCAGGCAAAAATCATTCATTATTGTATTGTTACACTGAAAAAGCATCCTTCTGCCAGCCCTCAGCAGAGATGTAGTGTTTGGAGCTGCTAACCCTAGTATTTCTTTTCCTAAATATACTTGATAAATCAGCTTAGGAAGGAAGAGACATCAAACTAGCACAGCTGAGAAGTGACTATTACAGAAATCCTCAAGGACCAGTTTATTTTGAAGACACAGAAATGCACGTGATGAAAGGCAGGGTGCTGCTTTAGTGAGCAAGAAAAGAGCCAAGGTCTCATCTGGTTCTGTTCATCTTCCATGCTCACCCAAGTCCCTTCTGTTGCCAGACTCTTTATCACCCAGTATCTGCAGAAGAAACTGAAGCAAAGCACACAGATTGCTTTGAGTGCTCAGACAGTCATTGTTGTTACTAGTAATGCATTTGAATGATTACAGAAAGAGGGAGTCGCAAAGGACCCAGGTGCCACTAGAGACAAGCTTGCTGCGCAGCCAGGCAGGGAAGGACAGCTCTGTAACCCACATCCCAGATTCCTGCACAAGTCCTGTGTAGTCCTCAGAAGGCACCTGCAGTTTTTGGCTGGTCACTTCCAGGTGCCATCAGCATCTCCTGATGCAAATGCACTTTGAGTGCTGCGGTCTCCTAGACCAGGGCCATCCTCCCAGCGAGGGAGGTTTGGGCAAGCAAGGGGTTCAGCGTTAGCAACGATTACTTGCTTTTGGTGGCTGCAGTGGGTGGCAGGACCTGAAAAAGCTTCATAATTTGCAGACCTCCTGGTAGGATTGCACTTCAGCATGAGTCCACACTTGCAGAAGGGTTGTCTGAGCCTTTGGCTCCTCTGCCCTCAGTGCCTGTTTGGTGCAGGCCTTTGCTTTCATGTGACCACTGAAGTGAGTCAGATCAGGTAACTGATCTGGCTGAAAATGAATGCAGAAAATTAAAAAAGTGTTTCTTTTCATCCACACGAATACTTGTGCCAATAGAGGGCAGAAAACAAGAATGGGTGGCTAAAGGAAAGGCAGACATTTCCCTTTCAGAGGCAGTGTGGATTTATGCTGGATATAACTTGTTTTAGGAGGTTCAGTCATGGTTGTAACAATGTCCTGTCCAGGTAGCAGAGACTTTGTGCTTTGGAACCCCTCTTAGGATGTCTATAATTTATTTTCTATTTCCTTTTTTTAAAACAGGGTTCTTGGTGAATACTAAGGCTGAAATTCCCAAGTCACTGATTGCTTATCAAGTGTTAGAAGCAGAAATGCTGGACAGAAGAGAAGTGAGAAGAGTCACGGCCCAAGAGCTCACAGGATGAACAGGACTGAGGTTCCTGTTCTGAAGCAAACGCACAGATCATTGCACATGGTAAGTTCCCCATTTTTTGGTAGCCCTTCCTCTCTAGGAATTCTTGAAATGCTCACATCCCATAGAACATGCAGACCTCTGCTTCCTAAGAGAATTTCCAAAGAAGATTAACAGAAATGCTCCAAAATGAATCTTGCATTTTTTTAAAGCTTTCATTGGAATCAAACAAAGGGGCAAGAAACAGTTTCTTCAAGTCTCAGGGACACTACCAATTCTGGTTTTGATAAAGTCAGTACTTTAGTTTGTTCATGCAGTCATTTCTGATGTGGCACTCGTTCGGAAGTTAGTGTTCTGTGAATGCTGAGGCTTCATTGCACCATTGTTTATTCAGTAAATGTGATAGCAGTTGCTGGACTGTATTTTGAAAAGCTACACGTGACTTTGCAGAATTGCCAGGCAGCTGACTGGCCTAAGATCAGGAGCCTCAAACCTGCCACCTTTTCACGTTTCAAAACCAAAACAGTAGGGCGGATATTTACTATTACAATTCTATAAACACCTCTACAGCCACAGCTGTGGAAGTCCTGGCCCACCTGCACTGTCTCAAATGAACTTTCTGAATTTTATTCTGTAAGCTGTGCCATCTAGTGTGGTGACAGGGAATCTCAGCTGTAGCTTAAAAGCAAGTGAGAAATGCCCTGCTGAATTGGACCTGCGGTGCATCCATCCCACTCTTCTGGCTCTGACAGTGGCAGTAGGGGATGCTATTTAGGGAGCGCTTTTGAGCCTGGACCGTGTCAGATCCCGTGGTATCCAGCAGCTACTGTATTAAGGATATTGGAGAGTACTGCTCTTAAACAAGCCCTGTGTGTGTACAGTGCTTCTTCCAGTTTTACTTTGATAATAGAACAAAACGGAAACATGAACAAGTACAAAAGAAATACAAATTAAGGAGCCCTGTTATTCCCTGTGGCTGTACTATCAGAGCATCTAAAAGTTCCACAGACAACTTGAGAATGAGAATTTGGCAGGAGAAACTTTATGGAAGTTTGCAGAGAGCTCTTCCTGAGCATAAGGACAGCATGCATAAGAAACCCAGTGGTGCTTTTACGAAGCTCTGTTGAGGAGGGAAAGGAGAACAGGTCACAGGAGAGGTTGGAAGCAGGTAGCAGCTTTCTGATCATAAGAGCTGTCATTGCCAGGCCTTACACTGTGGATTTTGGATCCATTAAAGGTTCACCTGCATTTTGGTTTTTTCCATGTTTTAGGGTCAAGGTACCAGGCTCCTTATCCACTCTTAATAACTTTGGGCTGGCATGATTCCTAAAAAATACCAAACAGTGTGTAGTAGCTCTCTTAATCATATTTCTTATTGATAGAGCAGATAGCAAGTAGTGCTGCCTAAGTGTGCTTTGGTAATTACCCCTTGCAGTAGCAGTAAATATCGTGTTCAGCACCATTGATTCTTTCACTGTGAAGAATACCAGACAGAAGACTTCTGTCCCGTCTGCTATTCTTGTTATGTTTTCTAACCCAGCCATTTGATAGTGAGTTGTTTTTTCTTTGCAGT